TGAAATCCTCCGCAGCTTTTTTGAGCATATGGGAGAGAACATTCATGGCTATGACAAAAAGGTAGGGGGATAGGGGGTCTCCTTGTCTCAGACCCCTCTTTTCTTTCTAATAACCATGAAATGTGCCATTATACCCAAGAGTAAAATTTGTGGAACAAACACATGCCCTTAGGCGACTGATCATGAGAGGTGGCAAGTTAATTCCCTTGAGACAGTTGAAGAGGAAATCCCACGAGATGTTGTCAAAATCTTTAGTTATGTCCACTTTCAAAGTGATTCTCTTAGGTTCATGTGCTTTATGGTACCCATTCACTAGCTCACCGCCAAAATAGTGTTCTCCAGGAGAAGTCTCTTTGAACAAAGGCCGTCTGTGAGGGCAGGATAAGGCTTGGAAGAATGGGTTTCAGACGCTTAACTAAGATCCTAGAGATGACCTTGTAGATGGTGTTTAGACACGATATAGGTCGGTACTCTGAAATGAAAGAAGCTCCATGCCGTTTGGGGACCAAGATCAGGATAGTTGCATTTGTTGAAACGGGCAGAAACGTAGATGTAAAAAAAAGACTTTATAGACGCACACACTTCCTCTCCAACAATGCTCCAAGCTTCCTTATAGAAACCGGAAGTAAGACCGTCTGGCCCTTGTGCCTTGTTAGGATTTAGCCAAAATAAGATTTTTGCTATCTCGTCCATAGTAAGAATTGAGGTCATATTCACCTGTAACTCTGTAGGGACCGTATAGCCAGTTAGGGACAAGAACCAAGTTGGGTGAGAGTAGGTTTGCAGAGGCAGTGGACCATCAGGACCAAGTATGCTCTTGAAATGGTTTAAAGCAATGAAGCTCAAGTCTCCTTCTTTGAGCCAATTCACTCTTGATTTCTGCTTGAAATAGCTCTCTTCAATAGACCTCAGAAATGACCACTTCTCACGTAATCCCTTTTCATTATCAAATTTCTCTGTAGTGGGTGATTCTAGAGCAAGTACCTGCGCAGCAAAAAACAAAATATTAGTCTCACTAACTCTCACTTGAATTTGTGAAAAATTCTCTCGATTTAGGCTGATCAAGTCCTTTTTATGCATTTTTTGCTTCCAATAGAGATCTTTAAGGTTCATGCCCCGGCTTCCGGCTTGATTCCATGCCTCAGTAACCAGTTGGAGAAAAGATGGGTGTTTGGTTAAGTAGTTGAAAAACTTAAACGGTTTAGTGCCGGTGATGAGGAGAGGGTGTGCCATATCGATAAGGCAGGGGCTATGGTCAGAGGTTGAGGGTGGAAGGAAGGTGGCTGAACTGTTAGGGAAGGAACTAAGGGCTGGGTTATTAATTAGGAGACGATCAAATTTTTTTTATGTCGGAGAGAAAGGGTGTATGTTGATCCAGGTAAAGAGAGGGCCATGAAACCTAAGGTCAGAGACGCCTAGCTGGATGAGACAGTCATGAAAACAAATCATATTTGCATCGAGGGAGTTGACATGAGGTGATGAATGATCAGAGTGATGGATGACTTGGTTAAAATCTCCGCTCATCATCCAAGGCAAGTTTTGAAGATTAAGTCTCTGAAGAAGATCAATGAGCTCAACCCATAAGTCAACTTTATCATCATGAAGATTGATGCATAGATAGCAGTATATATGAATGGCGCAACATTAGGAAGAGCGATTTCACATGTCATAGATTGTTTTGATTTATGAAGAAATCTGACAGCTGCTGGCTCTTTCCAAATGATTCTGCCGTCTTCATCTTCTGAATAGTTAGATTCAAACTTTCAGTTGGCACATAAAATGGACATTAGCCTTGCGACATTTTCTTCTTTTGTATGGGCTTCAAGTAGAGCACCAAAAATGGGTTTGTGGCAATTCAGCCACTGACAAAAAGGTCGATGTTTCACCGGGTCATTTAGACCATAGACATTCCAAAAAATAATTTACTACACATTAAGAAGTTTAGGAAGACTCCCCAAGGGGCAGAGAATCCTCAAAAAGCAAAAGAGAGAAAGAATTTGAGGTTTGAGCGTTGATGCATGGGAAAGAAAGAGAAGCATCATCAACAGGGATAAAAACAGCTGAATCAGAAGTGGAAGCTTTAGGAGGAGAGATTAAAAGGGTAGGATGAGAACGAGATCGTTTAAGGGAAAGTTTAGGGCGAGCGGTTGGGAGAGCGACAATGAAAGGTATTTGGGGTATATGATGGGTATATGGAGAATCAAAATTGTGTTTAGGAGATGGATGTATAAGGGCGATGGGAGTCGGAGCTGGAGGTTGGGTTTGGTGGGGGACAGGAGGGGCTGAAGGAGAGGCGTCCACCATCATAGGATCAGAGGAGAGAGGAGATTGGATGGTGTCAGGAACTAGGACAAGAGGAAGATCAAGGACAAAGATAGAAGAAGGGTCGGGTGCAGGAGTGGTATCTGAAGTGGGCTCTTCAATAGATTTAAACTTATTCCGCTTTGCAGTATTTGTAACAGGGGCTTTACCATTTGAAGTGCTTGAACTTTGAGGAGGTAGCAATAGACAATTTTTTGTAATGTGGTCAAGCTCCTTGCAATGTGAGCAAGTAGGAGGAAGCTACGAATATGTTACCATCACTTCAACTACTTCACCACTCTGCCTTGTAAATTCCATAACCTTAGGAGCATGCTTAGTGAGATCTACAGCCACCTTTACATGAGAGATAGTCAAACTAACAAGCTTCTTGGTGAAATCATCAGTTTCCTTTGGTTCTCACACTAAGCCAGCAACAAGACTAAGCCCATCCTTATGATGGAGATCCAGGGGGACTCCAATCAGGTGAGCCCAGATTGGAATACAATCCATTGAAGGAGGCACAGAGGTGTGAGCGGAGTTCCATTGAGCTGTGTGGAACATAGAATCTCTAATGTACCAAATTCCTTTCTCGAGTATTTTGCCTGAGATAATCACTAGGTATCCGAACCAACATGGAACGGGTGAGAGGATTATGATGGATTTCAACTCTCCTACCCTTTCCCCACATGTGGTTCAAGACGGTTTGGATTTGCTTGAGAGGCAGGGGTCTCCCATTAAAGTATCAGGCAATGAAATCTTTGTGCAGCTCTTCACTTTTGGCAAATACTTCATTTGGGATCATTACTGTTGGCCTACCTGTTACTAAAATAGTAACAGGAGCCAGGCTCTCAAGAGTTTTATCTTCAGACTTTTTATTTCTTTCTACTAAGTTAGGTTGAGAAGGAGGAGGCTGCTGCTGCTGCAGTTGAGGAGATGGTAGGATAGGTTCGGGAGACGGTAAGATAGGTTGAGAAGGTGGTAAAATAGGATGAGGAGGCGGTATAATAGGTTGTACAAGGGAATCAAAGGATTGGGAGGGAGGGTCAGAAACCAGAGGGATTGAAGGGAGGGTTGGGTTTGGATTTGTCGAGATAGTATTAGTTAAGATAAGTTTGGGGGTGTTTGAAGTAGGGTGGATATGATGAGGGAGAATTGGAGGGCTGGATGCTTTGTTAGTGTTATTGGTGAGGAAGTTTTTGTGAAAGAATTCGGTATTGTTCATGAATAGTAGATCTATGACTTTTTTAGTTTTGTTTTATGGTATCTGTTTTTGCAGATCATGACTGAGACATGATTGAATCAGTAGTTTTGGGAAGGGGTTTAGTCGGGGGAGTGGCACTGAAGACACTTAATTTAGGATACTTAAGATTTGGAGAAAATAGAAAATAGAGGGAGGAATTGGATATCAGGGAAAGTAGAAGCAGGGTCAGGCAGGTCAGGGGGGTCAAGCGGGATAAAAGGCGGCTTATCTCCAGTGGAGAGAGACGAAGGGATGAAGGCAGAAGCACGAGCTGTAGAGAGCCGTAGATTCTCCATTAGAATCGCTTCAGAGCTTTTATAGCTTTATAAGTTTCATGGAAACTACATTTGTTGTGTGTTAATCTTTCACAATTGCCCAATGTTGATGATGGTTCTCATAGTTGTGCTAATTTTTAATCTTCTTTATAAGCCACGGTTCATTCCTCAAGTTTGAAAGTTGAAGACTTGAAATCATTTCTGGAGAAGATTGTACATCCAACACACAAAAAAAACAATATTTCACTACCATTAAACCACCAACATTTATATAAAATAACACAATTTATAAACAAGATCTAGCACTAGGAAAAACATTAAAACATAGATATTCTCACTATCAAAATCCAACGAGATATTGAAGCTTCAACCTCCACTTGCAAATTACAAGTTACAACTAAAAACACACACACAAAAGAAACTTACAAAACCCAGCCTAAAATAACAATGTCTTTCATACAGATGTTTATTTTCATGAAAGACTTCACCACTAAAATTTCCTAACATAAAATAGCTAAACCACAATTACTCCTATTAAGTTTTTATTCTGTAAAGTAAACCCATTAATAACCTAATTAGTGTTTGAACCGAAAACGGCGTATATGTTGAATTCATACAATATATTTCTTATAGAAATTTAGGAGAAATTTTCATTGATATCAAATAAAAAATATAAATCTATAAAATCTTTTCTTTTAAGTGTTCTTGGTCTAAAAAACGCAAAAAAAAAAAAAAAAAAAAAAAAAAAAAAAAAAAAAAAATCATTTTGCTAAGATTGAGTGTATTTATATAAGAATGTCTAGAAATCTCTAATAAAATTAGCCTAATTCATTATCTTATGAACTTTGTTGGAGGATAAAGATCCATCCCAACAAGTATGTTAAATCCAAAATAAACACAAAACAATACTTCATTTTCATTAGAAATAAAATGCCTGGGAAACTGCATTATGTGGTATGACCTTTGACATTTCCCATTGTTCATGGGTTCCAGCTGATAATTGTGCTAACTTTTTAACCTTCTTTACGAGCCTCAGTCCATTCCCAAAGTTGTTGTCATTTTGGGAGAAGATTGTATGTTCCACCCAAAGAACAACAATCTTTCACTACCATCAAACCACCAAGATTTTAATAAAATAACACAATCTATAAACAAGATTTTATTAGCATTAGGAAACACAAAGCAGACACATGTTCACTATCAAAATCCAAACGAGATAGTGATGATTCAACCTCTCCACTTGCAAGTTACTACAAAACACACACAAAAGGAACTTACAAACCAAGCCCAAACCGGAAAACTTATTGCATAGGTAGAAGACAGTTATATAAACAAGCAAAACTTAGACACGTGACGGTAGATCTAGACACCATATGTACATCACCCACTTGTGTCACTCCCTCTGACTCGCTTTTAACGGTGCTGACTCCTTGAGTCGCCGCTGTACAACCTGCGACACGTGAACCAACAAGTAAATCATCAACTTCTGATCTAAACCATCTGATTCTGAAGTTACTTGACAACCAACGGCTGTGATACAATAGTAAAAAGAAAATATATCTTTCCCATCTTTGGTTACTACGAAGCTATAGAGTGAGTTCATGACTATACCATACATATGCACAATAAAGGAAGGTAGTTGACACGGTAAAACAGAATAATGTTTTATTGTTTTTCATTTAATCCACGCGCCCACTAAACACAGTGCCACGTGTTCCTTCCTTTGAGCTTCGTTATCATCGCTGACACATAAATAACTCATTACCAAGATATCAGTAAATGAAAACGAACCAAACCGTTCCTAGATATGAATCCTACAAGCTGACCAGATCACATGACTCGTTCCCCTATATTATGATTTATGAAGTCTAGATTTAAATTCTTAAGCATATGGTTTCATACAAAATAAAATAAAAATAATAAACTCACCAGTCGTAGACGGATGGAGAATTTGGGTGGGTTGGTTTATCAAAGATGTTGGAGCCGATGGCTCTTGTGGCGAGGTTGCTTCCAGGATTAAAGACACTTCTCCACACGTTATCCTTATATGGCGTCGTCGGAGTTGTCGGAGTAGTTGGAGTTCCGGGGCTCACAACCGTCGGCATAGTCAACGACCTATGCATCATCTTGTTGCTTCCTTCTCCTATATCTTTCCATACACACTAATTAATATCTAGTTATGCTTATAACCAATCTAGAAAGTGCTTATTATAGACTTATAGTTTAGATGTTACCTCTGATATTAATGGGTTGGGTGGTGATCTTTCGGAGGCGGGCAAGGCCACGGTCAGGTTGAGGACCGGCTACAACATCATCCCAGAGCTTATCTAGCAGAACCATCTTTTGATCTGATTTCCCTTTTTTTGTGTGCTCCTGAGTGACTTTTTTAGAGAGGGATGTGGAGTAAAGCTTTTGGTGGTTTTTGACTTTTATAGACAGCTTCTCAAAATATCTTGATTTATTTATCTATTAACATTGTTTTTTCCACTATACTGGCCATGCCATCTAAAAAAAAATCGTGGTTTTAGTATATCAGTTTCTTATTGGAAAATTTATTACTAGTGAATTTACAACTACCTCACACGACTATACTTTACATAAATGTTTAGTTTCTTATATTGTAATCAAAATATGTTACACTGAAATTCTTCTGCTTTATAAGATTTGTGAAAAGATATTAATTATTTTAGACTATGATTCTTTAAACCTTTAGACAATACAATTTTCAACCATAATTTAAATTACATTAAACTTTAATCTGTGAAGTGAGCTAAATAGCAAATCTTTAATCGTTGTGCTTATATCATTATGCGTTTCATGCTAAATTTTACTTTTACAGTGTCCGATTTTAATGAAAGATACTACATGTGACACATGAATACATGAAAAATATTTTGAATATAGTAAAAAGTTTGAAAATAGTAATTTTAGGGAGCTAAAAAGTATTTTTAGGAACAAAAGACAATGAGGGAGGAGGTTGTGGAAATTAAAAAAAAAAGTGCAAGTGGAGTATGATGGAGATTAGATAAGGTTGATGAGTCATGAAATGGGACCAATAAACTAAAGTATCCTAAGACAGTAAGAGTATAGATCCGTGAAATGTTCTTGTTTTTTTTTTCTCACAAAATGGTAATGAAGCTTCATCAAATTCAAAACACCTAATTTTTTTTTTTTAACCTAATTTTCACTTTGCACAATAATTCACTGCCTTCGTAAACTAATTGTAGTCTTGCGTATAATGAATCGTGACGACTCCAAGATTTCATGCAGTCAACCCATTTATTTTGGAAATCAAAATGAGCTCGATTAACAAAGGAATTCATAATTTTTCTTTTACAAAGTTGCAGCCTTGTCGGTTTCTTCGTCTTTTATCTAAACTCTGGATATGAGATAGATGCATAAACAACTAAACAAATAATTAAGGTGTTAATAACTGGAATATAATCCTTTTCAAAAACAAATAACTAGAATATAATCCTCATCTTTAACTGGAAACGTAAGAAAAACACAAAGCTATCATCATTCACAAAATGTCCAAAACCATGGGAAGTTGTCTTGATATGGGCAGCCACACTTGGACCCACAGTGAAAGTGAAGATAGTGAGTGGGAAGGACACGTGGGCCGTCTGAAGTTGCCATCACATGACTCGTTTTACCCATAGATCACAAGTCATATAATCTAATTTTCTATCTCATGACCAAAGAGAATCTTACACAATTCCACAAAACAAATATAATATAATTTATAGTCACAGCATCATATGAAAGGATATTCAAGGAGGATCGAGACTCTTCTATTCACATCGTGTTTACAGATTGCATGGTGTTAAATCACTCCAGAAGCCAAACATTGCTTCAAAAGCAAATGGATTAACTAGTCAAGAAAGCCCAAATTTATGCCCCCACTTGTAAGATTGTCAGCATTTGTTTCTTCAGTTTAAGTTACAGGAACATGGACTAAAAGACCCGAAGCCCACCTCCACCATTATCTACTACAGTGATCCATTTGATGTTGTGTTTTTCTTTTGTTGGGTTATTGATCATAGAAACCTAAATAATACTAAATTACAAATAGATCTGTTTTTATTTATCCATCCAACCCAAATATGTTTCCGGGTTGACTGTCCGCGTTTAAGATCACTGGTAATAAACTAATCTTCTATTGTCTTTCGTTACATTCTTCTTACTTTATTCCAAAGCTTTTATTCCCCTCAATAATGTGACTACGTATATGTAGGACAGTAGGAGTATTCTTGTTGTCTAAAAGTCGATTCTTCAATATAAACTGGTTATAAGGTGAACAATATTTACACTCACTCTATACTAGTTTAAACAAGTCCAGCATACAGTGATATATATAATGTGAGCAATGTTTCGAGAATATTAAAAAAAAACTAAAGGGTCTAATTTCATTAAGAAAGCGATTGTAATGTATACTTATAGAAACGTTAATGGCTTACCCTTTTAAAAAACAATAAGAACTCAAAGATCTATGTGCCACGACTTCTTCTTTGGTCCGACGACTCGAGGTAGGAGCTGCTTTTAACGCTTTCCCGATGATTGCGCATCAATCAAGGTGATAAAGTCAAACCATCCAAACTAGTACAAGATTACGACCATTCAGACGTCCGATAATTGGAGGGTATTTTTGTCTTTTGAGTATCTCCTACCCCGGAGACCGGGAATGTTGGTCACGTGCCGTTTTGGTTATCGGCCCCACCAACCCCTTATCGTTATTATCTCTACAAACACAACCTTTTTAAACTTAAGTATTATTAAATTACCCATTTGGTTTAATTAACTATTTAATTACAGCAACTACAAGAATACAAATAACCACCTCCACCGACTCCATAATTTCATAGCATATATACCCCATAAATCGGTACATTACACGACAAAGGTTACTACAGTATGTAATCCATTACATCATCTACTTTATTTATTCTATCTTCTTTTTTTGTGTCGCTCTAAGTCAATATGTTGAAGTGCTTTTCATTGTGAGATTTTAATTGTGTGAAACCAAAGACTTTGACGTTTTTTTTCTATATACTATTTTCCGTTCAAAACTAATTTATGTTTATTAGTAAACTTTTTGTATATTTAAATATTAACTACTAGGGCTGGTTCGCGCTATGCGCACATTATGAGTTATATATGATGTCAAAACTATAAAATTATATTTTATTTTTAATTGTGTTTTATGAACTTTTGCAAGAGAAATGTATTATAGTATTTAAGGTTTTTAAGAATGTTGGTACGTAAAAGATATATGTTAGTTTATTTTTAAAAAATTAATAATCTTATTAAATTTAGCCGTTTTTTCTGAAAGTTTGATTTGAAGATAATATTCTAAATTTTTAACTTAAAATATCAATATTCTGAATTCTATAAATAAATTTGTGTACAATTCAAGTATAAATTTATCTTATCTAAAATATTTGAAAAAATCATTTATATAATTATGATCAATGCTTTTAGTGTTTATAATAAGTCTTGCATATCCATTTGTATTCTATGTTTACTAAATTGTATATTAAGCTAGAGGTGTTTTAGAATTATTTTATATTTTGCAATTATTTTTATAATTGTTACAATTGTTTTTATTCTTTAAATAATTATTTTGTCAATAACTGTTTTTCATATTTTTAACAATAGTTCTTATTTAATTTTGTAGAATTATGATTTTGTTAGAGATATCTTAATGATTGGGAATATAAGAATGTTTGTTGATTTATTTTCAAGAGAAGTTAAGCACTTTAGATTTATTGTTCTGATATATGTTAATTTAATGTAATGAATAGGTGGAATTATTGTTATGTCGCATTCAGTTTATGTCTACCCGTTTAAATTATGTTTATTTTATCGAAATCAAAATATATTAAAAGATCTTCAAATTCCAAAATAAAAATTATACATGTGTATGCTATATTAATATATAACTAAATACATAAAATTATCATGAAAATTGGTTAGTTTGAGTATTTGAGTGGAAACCACTAAACATTTTGGTGTTTTGAGTTTTTTAATTATTTCAAATATTTATTTTTGACTATTTTAGATACATTCAGATATTTTAGACAGTTCCAAGTTTTTTTTAATTATTTTAGATATTTTGAATATTATACATTAAATTAATTAAATAGTATATAACTATTATTCAAAAAACTCTAGGTACAGAAGAAGAGAGACAAACTCTAGAATTTCTTTTCTTCGCATCAACATGATTGGCGCCTACTTTATTGAGTTATCGGTTTGTATATTATCTGATTTCTGTGTAACTAAAAAGTCTAAATAACTGAGATATCAAAATAAATAAAGTGTTGCATTTTGAAAGAAGTGGGACATATGTCGCGAGCACATAATTCAACTTAATGACATATCAAGTGACGTGGATTTTATGACGTGGTGCTGATGTGGATGGACTTGAAAGGAGTAAAACACTCATTTATATAATAGATAAATTTAACCTAGTTTCTATTAAGGTAGATGAGTTTCCAACCTAAAACTAATTGGTGATAAGTGGAGTGGTCCATCTATCTAATATACAAAATAAAATCCATTTTAACTTCCGATATGAGATTTTGTCCCTAATACGCTTTTTCGAAATGACTGTTCTTTGCCGTCAATTTTGGAATGTTCGGGTAAGGATCAATGGGGCGACTTTGGTCTGGATCGATAAGGATCGGATTAGACTGTGTGGTTGTGGACTCTAAATACCATATTAAAGTAGATGAATCAATCCACTTATCACCAATTGGTTTTAGCTTGAAAGTCCATCTAACTAGTATGGCATCAGAGCCATGGCCCAAAGATGGCCTATCGATCCTTTTTCTGAACATTTCAAGATTGACGTTCAAAAAGTCATCATCTCAAGGGGGCCTATTAGCCACAAAGTATCTCACATCGGTAGTTGGAAGGGATCCTTAATAATATATAAGGTAAATGAGTTAACCCACTTATCACCAATTGGTTTTAGATTAGAAACGTATCTAGCTTAATAGTTTATGTTTCCTTATTTCTTTTATCCTTAACTAAATTAAGAAAATGATAAATATTATAAAATTTTAATAGCCAAATAAAGATAAACGTAAACATTTAGTCTTTTTTTTAAATAAACAATATAATGATATATTCTTATTTATATAAAATATGTATACATATAATTATTAATTTATAATTTTAATAGGACCATATATTTACATAGAATTTTCAAAAAAAATATTATCTTATTATTTTATCGATTTGTGACAAATTTTGAACTGGCCCAGGTTGGGACCGATAAAATTTATTAATTTATAGAAATTATTAATTTATCGAGTATTAATTTAAAGAGGTTCTACTGTAGTATATTTTCCCTGGTAGTGGGCGTTAAATAAAGAAATTTAAGTCTTGAAAAATGCGAGGAGTTCATTTATCCAATGTTGTCAATGTTGACTTATCCAAAGAGCTG